TTGGGGGGGGGGGGGGGGGTAATATTTCCATATGAGGAAGGTAATTTAATTTTCACCCCATCACAGGGCAAGGCAAGAATTCTTGAAAAATCTGTAACCTTCATGGGCATGAACACTTCAGTAACCCTTCCTGAAGAAACACGGTTTCTTCAAAGAAGATCATGGAGTCACAGCTCAAATTCTGCTGTTTAGACTAAGGCCCTCACAGCAGCTGTCAGGAATTTCAGGTCTTGATAAGAACTTTTTTTATTTTAAAGGAAAGATCTGCAAAGCCATTCACTATTGGCTGCGGTCTCGGCTAATTTGGCCCACACCCAACAGCCCATACAACCATGAAAAGGTTAATGGCCTTCGTCAGACAACCATGGGTTGTGAGAATATTCAGACATTTTCATCGTTCATAAAAAGTGTACTTTCCACTCATTTTTATTATTTTAACCTTTTTGAATCTGTAAGTTGCCCATGGTTCAAGAATGGACCTTGCCTCATGGCACACAGGGCAGTTTGAGTTTGCATGGACTGGTCCATGACCTGTAGAAAAACACATGAAAGGATATTAATGGTGTCAGCAGGATAGTAAGCCTACTTCAGAGAGATTTCAAGATCCTAATAATTGAAAGGTCATAAAGGTACCCCTGACGTTCAGGTATCCTATCCATCATCAGTCATTCCCTGAATCCTTTAGATATGCCTATTTGAATGTATAAAGGGTTCAGGGACTACACATCCTAATGGTCCTTGGAGTGCTTCTCCAGAGAGGAGGATCATTGCCAAGCAAATACTGCAATAACAATAAGCAGCTCTTCATATGATGAAGCAGGAGAATATTGACACTCTCCTGCTTTTGTTCCCTGGAGTATCAGCACAGATCTCTCCTCTCATGGAGCATTTGCACACCATTCATACATACATTCATCATTTCATTGCATAGAACATGAAATGGTCATGATGACTTCGGGAAATTTCAATGAAACTCAAGATAATTATCCTTCTTCAGATTGCCTATATTAAGCTACCCAAATTTCATATCTCTGTGATGAATTAAGAATCTTCAAATATTTAGAAGAAACTGCCAGAGCAAAGGCAGTCTGAATAATCAAACCAAATCTGCACAAGTTTCATCCTTGCAAATATATCATAAATATGTCTCCAAGAAATCTGGACTCATCTCTATATTATGCAAATAATTTTTAAAAGTGTCTCTGTCCACTTGACTCCAGATCACATTCCATGTCAGAATAGTTCATATTTTAATTGGCTAAATTATATTGGTTTCCTCAAAATTCATATCTGGTAGCTCATCTTCTTTCCTTTGCATGAAAAGATTTATTCTTTTATACCAATATTTTCCCATTCAGACGAATAATTATTTAAAAAAATTTTAAAAATCCACAAGTCCAAACTCTGGATGAGGGATTTGAGAGTATAGATCGATCGGCTAGATTATGAATTTATGCATGGGGTTGAATTTTGCTGTAGTTCCCATTCCTTCAGGAATGAGCCATTTAAGGAATTTTATGGGACTGTCAGCTAATTACTTAAAAGCTTTGAAATAAAAAAAAAAAAGATTGTAAGAACACATTTAGTTCTCAGGATTCAAGATGGTCCCAGGGGATTTTTTGCAAAATGACCTTCCCAAGAGCAAATCCAAGACATTGAATAAAACTTTTTAAAAACATGCTTTTATTTATATATACTCCTCAGCTATAAAACAGCTTCATACGACTTGGCATCAGCTCATCAAGCTGTAGATCATTAATTGCCCAATATGCATTCAGCTATTTAGTAGGACTCGCACCACAACAAGAAATAAACCACATGCTGCAGACAACTGGGTGAAATGGTAACATGCACAAATGAGGGAAGAAGCAAGATCATGAAAACAAACAATCAAAAGAGAAAACGAACACATGTGATGTTGAAAGAGGGAATGTTGAACACCAAATGCCTTTCATTGCACAGCTGAACAAGACCAAAAGGTCATCACTCGGTGAGGCGATTCTGGATCGAGCGACATGCTTCTGTTCTTGCATGGTCAATTTGCACGTAATAGAGAGGGGCAGAGGAGGGGAGCACTTCAGGAACTTTCCCACAACTTTCTGGCAGATCAAGTCTAGCATAATTCACTGATTGCGTCTCAGCAACTCCCTCAAACCTCTGCACAGGATTTGCACCATCGCCTTCTTCCTCTATGAAGGGTATTGACGGTTCAGTTGGCTCATATGTCATGGCAGAACTGCTAGCTGCCATGGGGGTATCAGCTGCTCTTGAGGCTGAAGAGGAAGAGCGAAAGGGGTTTATTTTGCTGCACAGGGTCTTGACAAGAGACCGGGATTTATCTTCTGTTATGGCACCTGCTGAGCAAGTATGGCGGAGCTCCTCCTCCCTATTAGGCCTATGTATTGGCTCACTGGCATGACGGTGCTTGTTCCTCTTTGGGCCAGCGAGGAGGGAATTGAGTACCTGAAGACTAGACGAACTACTGTTTCGCTTGATGGATTTCTCGTCTGTCAGGCAGAGAGTGCCAGATGTGGCATCAATTGGCACAAGATCCTGTTGATCGAGGAACCTCGGGTGTGAGGTATCTTTCTGGTCAACTGGTTCTTTTGACGAATTTATATTGTCTCCACATTCTTCTTCATGAGTGCCATTCTGAAGCTGCTCAGTTTCCTCTACAATTTGGAGCTGCAAACGATGGTTCAGTGATTCCCTGGGATTCAATTTCATATAATCATCACATGGTGGTGGAGGTTGAGGCACTGGTATGGTGAAAGACCTCACTGGTGGAGTTGCCTGTTTCCCTGAATTGGGTAAATTCACATATGTCTCGCTGCCAGATGGTATATTCATATAATCATCATCTCCGGTCTGTGAACTCAGTATGCTAACATTGCGATCACTGGCAGACAGATTCATGTAGTGATCACTACCCATGAGCTTCATGTATTGGTCATTGCCATCTTCATCATCAGGAGGGGTGACCCTAACATTATGTAATTTTTGGGTCATGGGAATATAATCAGGGTGGCCATCACCATGTCTTCGATCTCCAATGGACAGGGACATGGATCTAGCAATGTACTTATTTCTTTCACTCCCAGTCCCCATGGACATATAGTAGTCTGGTTCATCTACAGCACTGCCAGGT